AAGGCGTTGCATGCCATGTGTTGAAAGCTCTGCATTTGGAATTAGCTCTTTCTTACACAGTGGTCATTTGAGACCCAGAGGATTTAAGTGACTTGCCCAGAGGTCTCCCAGTGGTGGGCCCGGAGATAATTAATAATTTGAGAACGTAGATGGGGTGGGGAATCTGCCAGATCACAGTTGGGTCCGTGGTCTCCCCTTCACCCCGCAGGGGGTCGACATCCGCCACAACAAGGACCGAAAGGTTCGGCGCAAGGAGCCCAAGAGCCAGGACATCTACCTAAGACTGTTGGTCAAGGTGAGGCTGGGGCCACCCCAGAACTGCAGCTTCCACAGCCTCCATTCCAGAGCCTGGGCTTCTCCCAGGGGCCTGCAGGGCAGGCTCGCATCTCTGGTTCTGGCCCTGAGCTTCTGGAAGTTCCCTGTGTTCAGCCTCTGGGCTGTATACGCTTAGGGGGTGGGGAGGGGCTTTCCTGGGTCCCTGCCAGGAGGGCCCTGGGCGGCTCTCCCTGGAGCTCAGTGGGATGGGGGAAAGCCATCGAAACCCTGCTAGCCCACACCGTCGTCTCTTTGCCCCTTCATTAGAAAGTTGGGGGGCAGGGGGAGAGTGCGTTTCTCAGGTTCTCATTCTTCCTTTCCCCGTCCCCTCCAGCTGTACAGGTTTCTGGCCAGACGAACCAACTCCACCTTCAACCAAGTAGTGCTGAAGAGGTTATTCATGAGTCGCACCAACCGGCCGCCCCTGTCCCTTTCCCGGATGGTGAGGGGCTCACGGGGCGCATAGCCAACCTGGGGAGCGGCTGGATCGTGTCTGGAGCTGGGCTCTGGGAGGGTGGGCGGGCTTGGAGCCTGGCTGTTGGCTAGTTCCCCTTACCCGGTGGTGGGCGCAGAGTCCTCAGGTTGTAGCTGAACAGCAGGGCTGTTCCACTGGCTTGGTCTCTCGGCCAGGTTTTCCTTCTCATTGTGAGGTGGAGGGGTGGTCGTAGTGGCTTCAGGTCATATAACACACACCCTAGACGTCAAAAGCCACCTGTAGGAGAGATGTGTTGAACAATCGGGAGATTTTCCCAGGCTAGACCTAAGATGAGGCCTGTGCAAGTTGGAGAGGTGTGGCATGGCTGGGTTTAGCCCTAAGGGGCACAGCTCTTGTTCCTCGGGATGCCTGACGCAGTGGGATTGGATTTAAACCCCAGAAGGGAGTTTGTTGATGTGCATCTCTTCTTCCCACAAAGATCCGGAAGATGAAGCTGCCTGGCCGGGAAAACAAAACAGCTGTGGTTGTGGGGACTATAACCGATGACGTGCGTGTCCAGGAGGTGCCCAAACTGAAGGTGAGTGGGCAGGGGCTCTGGAGCACAGGCTTCTGGTGGAGTCCTGCAGACCGGGCTCAGCCCTGCTCTGCTGTGGTGCTCTCAGGCTGGCAATGCACCCTCAGTCTCCCCCCGCCGGGTGAGGCGGCATCACACCTGTCCAGGTGGCTTTTAGGATCGAAAGGGGATTGTCATTGGTATTATTGATGGTTAGTGTCCCTGTGCAAGCCCCTTCTGGGGCCCTGTTGGCGGTGCTGGCTCTTGAACAGGCAGCCTGGGTTCAGATCTAAGTTTCTCTGCCATTTTGTCACCTCTGGACAAAGTCCTGGATCTCTAGCCTCAGTTTCCTTACACATATAATTTTAGGTTGTTGGGGTCTTAAAGGGGTTTCTAGAAGTAAGGTGGTAAGAACGGCTCTTATGAACTCAGGAAGCTCCCTCTGATTGGTGGTGATCATGCCGAGCAGGCAGCTGGGACACCTCTGCTGGGCCAGGACAGTGGATAGTAAGTCCCAGCAACCCCTGGGTGGCCATGCAGGGGGTTCTTACCGCACCTGTCGTCTGTCCCCCAGGTGTGTGCCCTGCGTGTGAGCAGTCGTGCCCGGAGCCGCATCCTCAAGGCGGGGGGCAAGATCCTCACCTTCGACCAGCTGGCCCTGGACTCCCCGAAGGGCTGTGGCACCGTCCTGCTCTCTGGTGTGTGATGTGTAGTGGCTTCCACGGCTGCAGGGATTGGGGGCCCAGTGTGTGGGAGGTGTCTGGCGTGAGCTGTGTGCCTCCTGCAGCCTTTACTTACTTCCCCAGGTCTGGGAGGTCAGGGACCCCCGCCCCCAATCAGCCTCAGCCCTGGAGAGCGGCTCCTTGCCGGAGGTCTGGGTGCTGGGTCCCTGCCTGATCCCCCCCTTCCCTCCCTTCCCCAGGTCCTCGCAAGGGCAGAGAGGTGTACAGGCATTTCGGCAAGGCCCCGGGAACCCCGCACAGCCACACCAAGTGAGTATCCGCAGCCCTGCTCTCTGTCCTGGACCCTCCCCCTGCAGGTCTAGGCCCTACCATGCTGCCAGCTGCTGCTGTGTCTCCCTCTAGTCCAGCCTCAGGCCTCCCTGGACTTCCCCGCCCCATCTTACCCACTTTGGCTTCGAGAGTCAGCTTAAAGCTGTGGTTCCTCGGGCTCTTGAGCTCCCTGCGCAGCCAGCGTTGACAAATGCAGGCCCTTCAGGGCTGTTGCCAGGCCTGAGCTGTGCGTCCCCGGTGGAGCCTGGGTTTCTGGTTGACACCCTCCACGGCCTGGTGCAGGCGCTGCAGCAGCCACTGCTGGCGTCTTGGCCTCCTGCACTGCCAGGCTTTCCCAGCAGCCGGCCTGATGTCACCCCCGGCGCTCTGTTAGAGCACACATGGCTCTGCTCCGAGGTCCCCGGGGTGCGAGCAGCCCCTGTCCCTGGCTCCTTCTGTAAGGAAGTTCACTCTTCACCCTTCTCTCCCCGCAGACCCTACGTGCGCTCCAAGGGCCGGAAGTTCGAGCGCGCCAGAGGCCGACGGGCCAGCCGCGGCTACAAAAACTAACCCCAGATCCTCCCTTGTTATTAAAAAGATTTTGGATGCTGACTGCTCTCTGTGTGTTATTAGGGAATGGTGGACGGGGGAGGGAGGGGATTGGAGCCTGCAGTGAGAACGCCTTTGTTTTTCTTCGGTTCAGTCCCGGGCGTTGGACGCCGCTCCCATCTCCTTGCGTCGGGGATGAGCCCCTCCCTCTGCCGGGGCGGAGCCTGAGTTCTCCAGGTCTCCGCCCTCGTGGGGCGCGCCCTCGGCGGCTGGACCTCGTTGCACCTGTTGGACCTCGCACCCCTCTACGGTCGAAGCCCCGCCTTTTCTCCCAAGAACAAGGTGTCAGGTTTTTCTGCACCTGCTTCCTCGGAGCAGTCACACCCGCCGCTATTAAAGGACCCGCGCTCCCCTCCCGGATCTTCCCGGCGCTAGGGGCCTTGGGTGGGGCCGCGGTGGGGGAGGGGGGTGCGTGGGAACTGGTGAGGCACTCTCCCTGCTCCGAAGCCTGAGTCTGGCGGGCCGCTGGCCCCTGGGCGAGCAACCCAGTGACTTGGTGCTTCCGGGACTGGGACCTTCCTGTATCCCGGGCCCCGCACCCTAGGCCTCCCCAGGGACCTGCGTCGGCCCTACCCCTGTGTTGACACAAGGGGCTGGGTTTCCCATATCCCAGGCTGAAGCCTGATGAATGCGGCAAGACGGCCAGAAGAACCGCAGAAATAAAAGCAGGAGGTCTCCGTTTCCCTGTTCTGATTCCTCAGAAAAGGCAAGACAAGGAGGAGAAGGGTATGGAAATCTGGCCGCCTTGGGGGATGGGAGGGAGAGGGAGACCTGGTTTTATTCCTCTTCTCTTTGCAGGGCTTGTGGCTGTGGTCTGGAGGAAGGGAGCCGCCTGGCTGCTGGGGCTGGAAGGAGGGGCTGCTGGTTTGCAGGGATCAGGGGTCCACAGTCCAGAGGTTGGGTCAGGAACCTCAAAGGGGCAGCTTAAGAGGGAGACAGGACACAACATAGAGCAGGCCTGTCCGGGAGAAAGTGGGCTGCCAGCTAGCAGGAAATAGTGGGATTCAGGCAGAAACCCAGACTGGGGCAGCTTGGCCAGGGAGCAGCATAGATCAGAGGGCAGCCCGAGACAACTCTGTGGCCCAGGGCACAGGCAGGGGCAGCCAGTCGGAGGAACGGCGACCAGTTCGTCGGGTCCTCAACCTAGAAGTGCTGTCAAGATCATGGGCCGGTTCCATAGTAGTGGAAACTTCTGGACAGCACATCCTCCACTGCAGCAGCCTGAGCTGGCGTGAAGGCCCGGGGAGCAGGGTCTTCAATCCACAGAGGACACTGCCCTAGTACCCCGGCTGGGGGAGAGTGATGCCCAGGCTTAGGGCCGGAGTGCATTCTTCCTAGGCTGAGACAGGAGGCGCCCAAGATGGTCAGCCAGTGAGAGCTGGTGAGCCAGCTGGGTGTTCAACTGGGCAGGCGGATACTGAGATAGTCAGTTGGAATCAATGTCTTCCAGACAGTTGAAGAGACAGCCAAAGATAGTCACTTAGACGTGCTATTGGCCAAGGGCGTACAGGCAGCCCACTCTGCCTTTATTTAGGACATTTGGGTGCTTGGAGACAGGCAGACAACCTGTTGCCTGGAGATGGTCGGGGAGTCAGCTGGACCTTTGGCCCGCTCAGGTGGGTGGTCAGCCTGACCAAGCCTGAGCCACCTGAAGGGTCGGTTGGGGCATTGTGTGGCCAGTGGGCTGGAGGTTGTCGTGTGGGGGGGAGATGAGCAGCTGATGGATCACAGAGTTGGGGACCGTGTCAGGTGGTCAGCCTGACCAACACACAGGGCCAGTCGTGGGGTCAGTCAGAGCATCAGAGACAGCTGGCGGGAAGGGCCGATGGCCAGCCACTCACGGTGGTGGCTGGAGGCTGGTGGGCTGTGGGTCTGAGCAGTGCCACACATTTGGTGGTCAGTCATTTGGCCAGTCTGATAGGACGGTGAGCCAAGGACATTGCAGGGCACCATTTGGACTTTCTCAGGGCTATTCTGGAAGACTTGCATGGCCACATAGAGTCTGCCTGTCTGGAGACCCCCAGGTGGTCAGTCCCCCAGAGACGGCCAAACCCTCAGACACCCAGCCCCACGGTCCTCCCACCTGAGCGTCCCAATGGCGGCCTCCCAGTTGGCAGCTCTGGAGGAAGTGGACTCGGGGGCCGGGGGGCTGACCCTGACCGAGGCCAGCCCTGGCTTCCCGTATTCTGAGGGCCAGCGGCTGGCGCTTGAGGCTCTGCTGAGCCAGGGTGCAGAGGCCTTCGAGGCCTGTGTGCAGCGCGAGGGGCTGCGGCCCTTCCTGAGTGGGGATGAGCTCCGGGGCCTGGCCGCAGCAGCTGAGGACTGGACAGCAGCCAAGCAGGAGCCCGGCAGGACAGCAGAGGGAGCCACCGCCGCTGATGGGGACTCAGGCAGCCTGACCTACTGGCCCGGACAGTCAGAGGAGCCGGTGCCCACGCTGCGGCTGGGCTGGCCGGAGGACCTGACCTGGAAGGGTATCACCCGGGCACAGCTGTACACCCAGCCTCCTGGCGAGGGCCACCCGCCCCTCAAGCAGCTGGTGCGCCAGGAAATCCAGGCTGCCCGCAAGGTGGGGGCCTTGGGTGCCTGGTGTCCATTCCCCAGACCCAGACAGCCCCACATGCCAGTTCTGGGACCTGGGAGTCCACACCCCCAGAACTTCTCCTCCTCCTCTTAGATATGGGATTCCCCACCCACTCCCCAGGACCTGGGTGCCCTTAGGCATCCATGCCCCTTGGACCTAACCATGACTCCCCTGGTCTGAGTCATCTGCTCCCCCCCGCCCCCACCAGGGTGGGTGTCTCTGTCCTTCCCCCAGGGAGGGCCCAGATGTCTCCCTGCAGCCCCCTGGATAGCCCGTTCTTTATTTAATAGGTTTTGTGTCTGCCAGCTCCCACAGTAAGTGCTTTACATGGGTTAACACGGGTAATCCTCATGAGGGCCTCTGTGAGATTGGGACTGATGCCCATTGAGGAGATGGGGAAACTGTCACGGGAGGTTAAGTCTCTTCCCTGTAAGTGGCCAAGCGGGGATTTGAACCAGGGCTGTCTGGCTGGTGAGTCGGGGTTCATCACCACTACCTTTTTCTGTCTGTAAGACACAGGCCCTTGGCACCCCCAGTCCCCAGAGCTGGCCCTGGGGGCCCAGGGGGTCCCCTGGCACCCAGGGTGCCCGAGGACCCAGTGTATGGTTGCCTACAGTGTGCTGCGAGGGTATCCAGCCCACTGACCCCTGGAGCAGGGCTGCCATGCAGTGTCACAGCTCAGGGGACACTGTTCACCGCTGCAGACATGTGACTTATGATGACAGTTTTCCAGCAGTTAGAGGCGGGGTCTCCACAAACGGCTGCCTTTTCCTCATTTGCATGTAGCGTGTGTCTGGGGGGTCTCCCCCTCAGCCCCCCTGAACATCCCAAGCGGTCCAGGCCTTAAACCCCCAGCCCCCAGAGCACCCATCCCCAAGGGCCCCACCCTCTGAGTGTCCCCCTGAGCCCCAGGCTCCATCCGCAGCCCCTCTCCCCGCCCCCCAGCTGGTGGCCGTGGTCATGGACGTCTTCACTGACCCAGACCTGCTTTCGGACCTGGTGGACGCCGCCACACGCCGCTGGGTGCCCGTCTACCTGCTCCTGGACCGCCAGCAGCTGCCTGCCTTCTTGACCCTGGCTCAGCAGCTGGGGGTGAACCCCTGGGCCACTGAGGTAGGGACCCCTGAGTCCTCATTCCCCAGGTGCTGGGATCCGTGGGGGCAGAGCCTTCCAAGGGGTCCTGGGTCATTGAGGTTGATGCTAGCGGAGAGGGACCCCTGAGATCTGATGCCCATGGCACTGGGGGACACGGGGGAGCTGGGGCAGACCCTTCTACAGAGTCATAGGCCACCCAGGTAGGACAAGCCTGGGGGGACCCCCGAGCCCTCAGCACTGAGCGGAGGTCTGTCGGGTCGGCTTGAGCCAGGGTGTGCCCTCCCACCCCAGAACCTGGACATCCGCGTCGTGTGGGGCTGCAGTTTCCAGAGCCGCTGGCGTCGGCACGTGAGCGGCCACGTGCGGGAGAAGTTTGTGCTACTGGACGGCGACAAGGTCATCTCAGGATCCTACAGGTGTGGCTTCCCCCTCCCCACACCCCCGGGGGTCCTGTCCCACCTCTCCCTCAGCATGCGCAAAGAGGAGTTGACTTCGCTTTCCGAGCTTCAGTCCTCATCTGTGAAATGGGTATAAACACCCTGCCCAGGAGAGGAGGGATTGTGAGGCAGAATGGGTATGGGCTTGGGGCCAGGCCTGCCCAGTGACGGCACTGGTCCTGCCACCGGCCTGTTGGGTGGCCTGGGGTGAGTCTGCATCTCTCTGACCTGTGTTTCCTCACCTGGAAAACTGGGCCCACAGTTTGTGTGTGGGAGTTTCAATCCAGGAGTTACCTGGATTGCAGTCCTGGCTCTGCTTGCATGAGTCCCTCCATCTCTCTGAGCATCTGTAAAAAAAAAATAAGAGCTAGGGGCTGGCCTGGTGGCGTAGTTGTTAAGTTCGCATGCTCCACTTTGGCTGCCCGGGGTTCGCAGGTTTGGATCCCAGGGAGGACCTACGCACCCCTTATCAAGCTGTGCTGTGGTGGTGTCCCCTATAAAGTAGAGGAAGATGGGCATGGAGGTTAGCCCACGGCTAATCTTCCTCACCAAAAAAAAAAAAAAAAAAAAGCTGGTTTGCAGACGTCCCTTAGACCAGCTCATGTCCCTTCTCTGCTCTCTTTGGGGTCCGACTGACCCTGGATCCTGGCTCCCCAACTTGTTAGCTCTGTGACACTGAGCTGGTGCCTCTCCCTTGCTCTGAACCTCAGTTTCCCTATCTGGAAAGTACAGCATCTATCTCATAGGGTCGTAGCACGCAGGGGGAAGCGAGTGGACTCTGGGCCAGACGGCCGGGTTCAACTCCTAGCTCCGCCAGTTACTAGCTGTACGACTTTGGGCAACTGACTTCACCTCTCTGTGCCTCAGTTTTCGCCTCTCCACAGCGGGGTGATATGGTTAGTGCCCCTAGAGTGAGGTTTCTCGACAGAGGTGCCACTCCCATTGGGGGCCAGGTGATTCTGTGTGGTGGGGGCTTCCCTGGGCATTGTAGGAGGCTGAACTGAATCTCCAGCCTCTACCTAGTAGATGTCGGGAGCATCCGCCTTCCCCGATCATGACAACCAAAAACGTGTCCAGACATCACCAGGTGTCTCCTGAGGGACAGAAGTGCCCAGCTGAGAACTGGTGCCCTAGACGAGTGGCTTTCAGCCTCAAGTGTGTATCAGAATCACCTGGAAGATTTGTTAAAACAGATTCCTGGGGCCCTAGCCCCATTCAGCCGGCCTGGGATGGGGCCCGAGAATTGGCATTCTAGCAAGTTCCCCGGATGCTGCTGGTCCGGGGACCACACTCTGAGAACCGCCAGCATGGAGCCTGGGATGTTTTGAAGAGAACCAACCTTCCCAGCTTTGCTTGAGGATTCAGTGAAATAACGGTGCCTGGCATATAACATAAGAAGTGCTTCATAAACATCAGCTGTTGTTTATTATTATTATTTACCATATTTCATTGACTCTAAGGGGCCACCGAGGAAAAGGAGCATCCTGATAAAATGTGAAAAGATATGCGTGTTAGAACCAACGAAATTCAGTAGCGCAGTCAAAGCCACCGAGCATGGTTCCCCACCACTGAGGATGCTGTGCCGAGCACCGGGCTCCCGGTGCACGGCCCTAGAATGGATGAAGCCAGGGCCACAAGAGGTTGTCCAGGGCCTCTGGCTGTTTAATGGGGGAAGGGGGTGGAGGCAGGGGGCACGGGGAGCAGGGAGCCGGGAGACCAGTCCCAGGCCCTGCCCTCCACGTAGGTCACAGCAAATGTCGGAGCAGCAGCAGTGTGCCCAGCGCCAGGCTGGTGGTGGCCCCCGCCGTCCGGCCGCCTGTGGGGCTGGGGGCCTCGTTACACAGCTGACCGTAGCAGCAGTTGGTGACGAGGCTGTAGGTGACGCCCATGTAGCTGACGGGCTGCTCCTTGCCGCAAGAAGTGGTCTGCACGCAGCCTTTGTTGATGATGGGGCCAACGCCTGGGGCCACCCCGTGGCCCGTGTAGCAGTCCTCGTCGTCCCCGCAGTGCATGTGGGTGCCGGGGCAGCTCGAGGAGTCGGTGATCTCACAGAAGACACAGTCCTTGGCGCCCGTCGTGCCCGGGGGCAGAGCCATCACCAGAAGCAGCAGCCAGCCGAGGACCATGGTGGCCTGGCGGTGGTGACGGTGCCCGAGCCAGGCCGTGGGCTTCTTGGGCCTCCCGGAACTGCTGAATGATGTTCCTCACGCCTGCAAGGCTTTTGTCCCTGGTTCTGGCCTCCCAGGGTCCACACTTGGAGTGTCCTCGGTTCCCGACGCTCGGCGTCCCTCTCAGGAGCTCCGTCGTGACCACAGCTCTTGAGTCCTCGGGTCTCAGAAGCTTCCCCAGGACAGAGACGAGCCAGCGGCTGCTGCTGGACAAGTCTTTGTGGAGCGGAATGGGGTGACCTCACAGACCCCTCAGGGTTCCCACTGGCTGCTCCAGGGCTGAGGTCATAGGTGGGGGGAGGGGTGTCACAATCTGAGGGGCAGGCTGGCCCGCCGACCTGCCAGGGAGCAAGGACACTGTCACCCACCAAGGTAAGGATGCTTAGAGCAACACTCGCCATCCCAGCCACGAATGTGTCCACTCTGCTCTGGGCCGGGCACGGTGTCCGCTGGGGCGTAAGACACACAGCCCATGGTGAGCCCGCCTTTCAGATGGGCAGACCGAGGCTGGGGAAGGGAAAGCAACATGTCCAAGGTCCCCTGAGCCAGGATTAGAGCCCAGGCTCATTTAATTCCCAAGAGGGCATTTACTGAGCGCCTGCTGTATGCAAGACCAGTGGTAGATGCTTTAAATAACCAATGTGACAAGAGGAATCCTAAGGGCACTGCTCCCCACAGCTCGCACGGGCTGGGCACCATGTGGGGAGCTCGACCCATGTTCTCTCATTCGAATCTTCCTACATTTTAGTGAGGAAACTGAGGCACGGAGCAGGCACATAGCAAGTGCTTAATAAGTGGCAGTCATGATAGGAAGCAGCTGAGTCTGCAAGCAGCCCCTGTGGATGTCAGAAAGCAAATCCTGTTTCTTTCTAGAGGGGGAAACTGAGGCCTCCCTTGGTGAGGCCAGGGCAGAGCCCAGGTTTAAACTCAAGTCTGATTCCAGGTGATAATGGAAGTGTCTTAACTCATGTTGTCCACGGGAGACCCGGCTTTACCTACCCTTTGGGGTAGGTACTTTGATGGTTCCTATCCCACAGAGGGGGATGTTGAGGCCAGAGAGGTTGCAGGACTTGCCTGAGGTCACACAGCCTGCCCTGGGACCAGGTTAGGGACTGGTGATGGGGGCCAGGCTGGGCCTCTGGGGCTTCCTGAGCCCTCACTCCATGCCTCCCAGCTTCACGTGGAGCGACTCACGCCTGCACCGTGGTCTGGTGACCCTGCTCACCGGCGAGATCGCCGACGCCTTCAGCCGCGAGTTCCGGACACTGTACGCGGCCTCCTGGCCGCTCCCGCCTGCGCCCACCCCGAGCCCCTGTGTCGGCGCCCTGGGGAAGCTGCCACTGGTCCACAGCTCACACCACGTGGCCCGCCGCCGCTCCGTGGCCCCCGTGTTGGCCCCGCTGCCTGCTGGCCCGCTGGCCCAACGTCTGGCTGCCTGCCGCGTCTCGGAGGGGGACAGGCAGGAGGCCCCGGCCGTCGTGGGGCCGGCGCTTAGCGACATCCTGAGGAGCGTACAGCGTGCCCGGACCCCCAGCGGCCCCCCGGCCCGGCCCAGCCGCTCCCTGTGGGACCTGAGTCGCCTGTCCCAGCTGTCGGGCTCCAGTGACGGCGATAATGAGGTGAGACCTGGTGGCTGGCCTGAGAGGGAACAGAATAGCTGGAAGAGGATGGACGCAGCCGAGGCCCAGAAAGGGGAAGGCGCTCGCCCAAGGTCACACAGTGGGGCGGCAGCGTCCCTGCAGTGAACACTCAGAGCAGGAAGTGTTTTCTGAAGGCCTACTATGTCCCTGGCCCAGGCCAGGAGGGGGAAGCAATGCTGCTCACCTGAGTTCATAATTGCATTGTCCATTTCCTGTAGCCCTACTGTGTGCCAGGCAGGGGAGTGCTGGGGGGCACAGGGCAGAGACCCCGTGAGCCCTGGGTGGGGATCCCGACATGATACGCCAATGTGAGGGCTGGGGGGCAGGGTGGAGATTCGCCTTCTCTGAGCCTCAGTGTTCTCATCTAGCAAATGGGCAAGGAATGGTCCCCATTCTCAGTAGTGTGGTCAGGAAGAGGAGTCAATGAGGGTGGAATGAAATAGAATAATCATCATTACAATAAATTCCCCCGTGGAATTTATCTTTATTTATTTCACGACATCCTCATCTAAGTCAGTGAAGCAATACTCACCATGCTCGTTTCTACCGATGGGGAAGCCGCGGCTCAGAAAGGTTAAGCAACTTGCCCAAGGTCAAAACAACGATCTTTTGAGGGCGCCTTGCCAGGCACCAGGCCCCGCAGCAAGCACTTTGACAGAAGTGGTTAAATTTAACCTTTGCCACAACTCCGTGTGGTGGATGTTATTACAGCGCTCCACCTGCCCATTTGACAGATGGGGAAACTGAGGTACCAGGGAGGGACTGGCAACCCTGGTTGCCTCTCAGGCCGGGCTTTTAAGGGCTCTGCTTGCTGGCTTCCTGGATTCGTGTGTCACCGGGGTGTTGGCGAGGGGTTTAGGGGAGCTCCGAGGGGTCTCCGCCCCTCCCCCCAGCTGTTAGACACTGGGGTTCCAATAGAACCGTCCCAGTTCTCTGGGAGACCCCGGCATGGCCTCGGTGTCCTCAACTGTAAAGTGGGCTGTCGAGAGGGTAAGAGCAGAGCCATGTAGGAGAAGCACGTGGATGTGCCCGGGATGCAGGCAGACTTGGGGTACATCCCTCTGTGAGCTGTGCCCCCTCTCAGCCTCAGTTTCCCCATCTGCTGAGTGGGAGCTAGAGGCCCATCCCAAGGGTGAGAGAGAAATGTCCCAGGAATTGCCTCCCCCGTCCCGTCACTGAAGGGGAGGAGGGGGATGGGCAGGGCAGGGGCAAGGTCCTCGCCTCACCTGGTCCCGGGCCGCCCTCACCCAGCATCACCTCCCTTGGCAAATATTTGCTCCCCCCAGGCAGCTGCCAGCTGCTTCCTGTTTCTCCCCAGCTGCAAAGCTGCAGGGGTCCCAGCCCTCCCCGCTCACTTCCCTCCTGTGGTTCTGGAGGCTCAGAGGCCTTCTCACCTCCCCTCAGATTGTCTCACCCCACTTCCCTCACCTCCCTCCTTTCTCGCCTTCTCTCTCATCTCATGCTTCCTCCTCCTTTACCTTCTTCCTTCCCACCTCCGCCCTCCTCCTTCCCCTGGACTGAGCCACTGGGAGCCTTCTCTCACCTCCTCTCCTCCCTACCTCCCTCACCTCCTCCTCCTCTCCTTCCTTCTCCCTCACCTCCTCCTCCATCCTCTTTCACCCTCCTCTCTGTCCCCTGTTTCTGGGCCCCCAGGAGCCTCCTCTCACCTCCCTCTCTTTCCCTCCACAGATCAAGAAGTCCTGGGGCCCCAAGGACACCCCAGCCAAGGCCCTGATGAGGCAGCGGGGTGCTGCAGGGAGCCCCTGGGGTGAAACAGACTCCCGTCCGCTGGCCTGGTCCCAGCCCTGGGGCGGCCCCCTGCCCCTCATCTCCGCCCGCCGCCTCCGCTATCTGTCCCCGACCCGCAGGAGGTTTGGAGAGGATGCTGCATCCAAATTCCCAGAACCCAGAGGCGTCCAGCAGCCAGACTGGGCCACCCGGGTGGGGGCCAGGGGGCGACCCTGACCGGATTGAGCTGGCCGATCCGAGGAGAGCTGGACGACTGTCACCTTGAAGCCCCCTGCCTCACGGCTGTGCCTTGGACGAGGCTTCTGGCCTCAGGGTCTGGGAAGCGGAAGGAATTTCTTTTCACTGTTCTAGAACTTGGGCAAGCTCTAGACCCCAGTGTCACAGTCTAGAAAACGGGCACAAAGTCTAGACTAGCTGGGATCCCAGGACGGCGCACTGTTCCTATTCCGGCCGGGCCAGAACTTCCCAAAGGACAGGTCTGGCTGGTGGCCCCCGTGCTGGAGTCGTGTAGGGGGAAAACGGAGAGGCCCTAGGCTTCCTGCACCCACTGTACTCAGGAGCTCTGGGTCAACTGAGCGTGGCCCAGGAGAGGCGAGAACCCAGTCTGGGGAGCAGAGCTGGATAATGAGGACCTGGAAATCGGTGGGGACACACCTGCTGGGGACGGTCAGGGCCATGGAGAGGGACCCGGCAGGCGCTGTGACTGCTTTTGTGGGCGCTAAGGGGTGAGTTGTTGGGGCTCCCGTTTGCCTCTGCTCAAAATAAAGCTGCCTCATGACAGACACCTGCATTTCCACAGCCTAGCAGGAGAGCCAGGAGTCCGGGCCCCCGGCCCCTCCTCCCCCGGCCCCTCCTCCCTCAGACCCAGGAGTCTGGGCCGCCAGACCGTCTCCTCAAGGACCCAGGAATCCGGGCCGCAGCACCCTCGCCCTGGGGGAGTCAGGTGCCCAGCGCTGGCCTCCCTGCAGCATCTTCACCTCCGGGCGGGGCTTCTGAGTCACGACCCCATTGTCGTGCCACGTGGGGAAGAGGACCTCACCCTCCCGAGGCCCTGGGTGCTCGGTGCGGGGTCCCCACTCCAGCCTCCGCGGTCCCCCGCGGCGCCTCGCCCGCCCTCGCGCGCCCCCTGCCGCCCGCCCGCGGCACGCCCCCTCCACCGCGCATCGAGGAGCCGGGGCAGGAGCGCTACGTTTATTTTCAGGGTCACGGGTGGGGGGGCTCGGAGGCCTGGGCTGGGCTGGGGCTGGGGTCCGGGCTGGGGTCCTCGGGGGCGGCGTCCCAGGGGAAGGTCGGGAGCCCCCGCATCTGCTCGCGGTAGACGCGGTCGAAGGCTTCGCTCTGCGCCACCGTGAAGTGGTTCTTCCAGTCCCCGCAGACCCCTGGGGGGGGGGAGGGGACGGCCGAGGTGAGGAGCATCCGGAGCACCGACCCCCGCCCCCAACATCCAGCACCCCCTTTCCCACCTCCGGGCCTTCGCCCACGGTGTTCCCTTGGCCAGAGGCATCGTACTTCTCCCGCGCCTCCCCATCTCCATTTTGCCCCTTTGCCTCCTATGATGGCTGAGGCTCACACCGGCCACCAGTCACCTGGCCAGACCCCGGGGCACCATTCTTGGCCCCTCCCTCCCTCCCTCCCTCCGCTCCCCTCTGCCCTGCTCATCGCTCCAGGAAACCTCTCGCCTTCCTCCGCTTTACCCACTTAAATCTGTCTGCCCAGAACCTCCGCCTCCCCACCTGGCATTCCTGCACACCTTTCACAGCCTGCGTGTCACCTCCTCTGCCACCTGTCCCTAACCTCCCTGGTAGAACAGGGGTTCCTCGCTCCAGTGCTCTCCACTGCCCCACGGACCTCCATTATCTCATTTGGGAATAAACGAAGAGTTGCACTGTTAACCCCCCAGCACCAGAGCAGGCAGGGGGCTGGAACTCTTCTAGTTTCACGTGGCCCAGGCCAGGGCTGGCATCCTTCAGAGCCTCAGGTTTCTTGCTTCCTCAGGGCACCACCCCTCACCGGGAATCCTGGGGCCCATGTCATTTGAATCATAGTATTTTGAATTTTAGCAAATGCACGTACCACAAATTACATGACACGCCTAGTGAGGTCTGTGGGGGCTGCCTGTGGTAGGCTGAATAATGACCCCCCCCCCCAAGAAGTCCACGTCCTAATCCTTGGAACCTACGAATATGTGAGCTTACAGGGCAAAAGGGACTTTGCAGATGTGATTAACTTAAAGCTCTGGAGATGGGGAGAGGCTCCTGGATTATCCAAGTGGACCCAATTTAATCACAAGGGTCCTTAGAAGAGGAGGCAGGAGAGTCAGAGTCAGTGATTAGAAGGTGCTACGCTGCTGGCTTTGAAGCTGGGGGAAGGGGCCACAAGCCAAGGGATGCAGGGGGGTCTGGAAACGGAAAAAGCAGGGAACGGATTATCCCCTGGAGCCTCCAGAAGGAGCACGGTCCTTCTGACACTTTGATTTTAGCCCAATGGGACTGATCTTGGACTTCTGATCTCCAGAACTGTAAGAGAATCAGTGTGTGTTGTTTTAAGCCACAAAATTTGTGGTATTTTGTTACAGCAGGAAGAGGAAACTACTACACTCTCACCTTCACCCCGTAATCCAACACTTGAATATTTCTGGGTGAACATAACATTAAAAAGGATTCATGAAGATTCTAAATAGCCTCATAGGTTCGGAGCTGGCTATGGCAGTGTGCCTGGGCGTTTTGTCCCCGTTTGGAGCCCTCTGGGTGGAGTAAGCCTGGCATGGCGGGCACCTGCTGTGTGGGGTTAATCCAGGGTCCTCAGTGACCCTATGAAGGCAGTTCTGTTCGGAGCCCCCCCATGTACAGCTGGGGAAACAGGCCCAGAGAGGTTAAGTAACTCGCTGGAGCCACACAGCCAGGCAGTGGCCTGGTGGGGCTTGGAACCCCAGAGGCCCCACACCTTTCCGGAGGAAGGCACCCTGGCGCTGGTCCAGCACGGTGGGGGGCAGCAGCGTGTAGTTAGACATGGCGTTGGCCTTCATGGCCCCGAAGGTCGAGTGCGCCACGACGGAGCCCAGTGCCTCCTCGCCCAGCGGCCGGCCCAGGAACTGGCAGATGCGCTGCACGGAGCGGCGGAGATCCTGGGGGCGGGGGAGAGGGGTCAGGGGGGCCGGGTGGAGGGAGGGGACCCGGGGCGAGGAAGGAACACCAGACCCAGAGTTTGGATATCCGAGTCCCAACCCAGACCTGTCTGGGTGACTCTGCCTCTCTGCCTCAGTTTCCCCACTTCCAAAAGGAGGGGTTGGGCTATGGTGTCTGAGGGATTTTTGGAGGATTCTGTGGGTGGAAAGGAAGGGGTGGGGCTGGGTTAGAGGTCACAGCAGGGGGCAGAGGTCAGTCCAGCACCTTATGCAGAATCACCCTCTTTCAGGTCAGAAACAGGTGTCAGACGGTCTATGCCCCAAACCTGCTCCTCCCCCAGGTCCCTGTCCCAGAACAGCCTGTCATTCACCCAGTCACAGGGCCAGACTCCCAGCCCAGCCTCACCCCTCCTTCTCCCCCTCCCCCTCTGCTCGTCAGCCATCAGCCCTGTCTGTCCCTCCTACCCTCAACTCTTTCTGCCAGGTCCCCTCCTCGGTGTCCCCATAGCCTGGTCAGGCCTCATCATCTCCCTACAGACCTTAGCCCCAGCATCCTCCCCAGCCTCCCTGCCTCCAGTCCCCACACCTAGAGCTCACCCTGCTCCTCCCCTGCTCCCAGGCCTCCTGTGGCTCCCCAGTGCCCCAGGGCAAGAGTCCCAGCCCCCAGGCCCAGCTTTCAAGAACAGGTGTGGTCTGGTCTCACCTCCCGGCTGCCTCCCCCATCCTCTCCTTCTGGGACTCACGGTTTCCTGCACATTCCTCCCTGCAGGCCTTGGCATGGGGCTGCCAGGAACGCCCTGGCAAACTTCGCCATCCAGGGGCAGCTCAATTGTCACCTCCCTCATGACAATGACGGTTCAAGTCACTGTGGATTGAGTGCCTAGTGTGTACCAAGCTCTGGTTCAAGCCCCTCGTGTATATTTGTGCACATCCTGCCAGTAGCCTTGCAGAGAGGTATCATTACCCCAATCGGTAAACAGGGGCCCAGAGAGGGTAAGACACTTGTCCAGGGTCACACAGCCAGGGAGGAGCTCAGATTTGGGTCACCAAAGCCACAGTCCTCCCCTGTATCTCACCGCCTTCCCTGCACAGTCAGCCTTCTGGTCGGCTCCACTAGCTCCACGTTCCCGATTTTCCAGGTCATTCCTGGTTTCGTAACCCTCCATCCCTTTATCCTCTTGAACCACCGATGTGTCCCAGAAATTCTAACATGTTGGCACTTCCTCACACCCAGGGGCAGCCCAGAAGCTCTGTCAGGCTGCATGGCCCAGTTTTTGGTTTGGAGAATAAAGCTCGATGGAAAAGGGAGGGGGAGGGGGGAATGCCAAAATCTTTTCTGGATCTTTCCATCAAAAGAGATTTCCCAGGGTGGAAAAAGAACTCACGGGGTCTGCAACAAAGAGCTGTGTGCCTCAGGCAAGTTATCAACCCTCTCTAGGTTGTCAACTCCCAGTTTCCTTCTCTGTAAAACGGGGGTCTTAACAATATTGGGGTGAACCATATAAAATCGCCATTTTTTGCATATGGAAACTGATAGAATGTTGGCAATTTCTTGTGATTCCATCGAATATGGACCTCACCTGTCTGTACTTTGTGAAGATTAACTGAGATCATCCGGGAGCAGCATTTGGTCCATGGCATTGGTCAGCCCTCAGGAGACATTTGCTATTATTATTATATTGCTATTGTTGTATGGCCCTCACTCAGAACCTAATAATTCCTAGTCTACACACTATACTAATGCGCTGTCAGATGGTTAGAATACGCCAGTGCCGGGCCCTGGGGTCCTCACAACCACCCCGTGAGGTGGCATTTTTCACCCATTTTAAAGATGAGACCTCTGAGGCTCTGAGAGAAATTTTAGGAGGATTTTAACTGCTTTGTGGACACAAAAGTCCGGGCTCTTTCTGCTACAAAAAGTACCACAGAAAGGAGAATACGAAAGAGAAACGAAATGCCCACACAGGAAGGGAATGTCTGGGGCCATTGGTGAAGGGGCACGTGTTGGGGCCTCCCAGGTTCCCAGCCTCTCGGAACAGATCTTTGTGAAGAACCTAGAATGGTCGGGTACGTCTGCTGTGGATGGTTCCTT